GCTGTAAAACCTGTATACTTTCCCATAAATTAACATATATATACCATATATAATCTCAAACTCAAATCTCAAGTCTTTAACACTTTTCAAGAAAATATGTCATGCAATGCATCAAAACATAATAAAGATGCATCAATATAACAGGTGAAATAATAAATCAACCGTAGACCCTACAGTGTCCTGTACGGCTGATTCTATAGCTCACTATCCCATCCAGCCGGAGTCACCAACTGTGACCTGTACGGCCCTGCCGGAGTCACCAACTGTGACATGTACGGCACTACACTGCACATAAGTCGGAACTACCTATAGTAGTCTGTACGACTAAGATGGTGAAATAATACGCTCTAGTGCTTCTCTCATCAGCCATTTGTGCACATAATCTAAGGTCACCTACCAGTCGGAACCCCTCTAATGGTCTGTACGACTGGCATGTCGGAACCACCTCTAGTGGTCTGTACGACATCCACCTACTTGGATCCAAGGCGAGCGTGCGGTGTGGTGAATAATATAAGCATTATCACCTAGGGTGCAGGTTATGAGCTTCCAATGCAAATCACATCATCATTAATTCATATAAACCATATAAACTCACCTGATACTCACCTGTGCATCCACAGCACCAATTCAAACATATATACACATCAATTATCAATTCATATATTTCATAATGTGCATGCATGGCATTTTAAATCATACTTTCATTTAAATTCAATTTCTGGGAAAAATCAATAGTATATAGGTAAATATAGAAATACTGTCCACTCACCTGGAGTTCGCCCTACAACTCCCTAGCACAATACATCAAGGCGTCATCACGATCGGCGCCTAGAACAATAATCAAATCCAACCTCAGAAATCATATCGATAGAATATAACTTATATAAAACACATCACTACGCAGTTCGATCCGGAAGATCTGCAACTCAGATTTCCAATCCATAACTTCCAGAGGTCCACAATATACCTCTAGGACAACTACCTAAAATTTCATTACCAACCAACGGTCTGATCTCCGTCAATTTCCAAAACCAAGTGACGGTTAACATTCTATTTTATGAACTTACAACTCAAATTCCAGAAGATCCGTAAATCGGATTCCCGATCCGTAAGTTCCTATAATCCTCAAATATTACATACTACGACGTATCAAAGTTTGGTGACGATCCAACGGTCGGATCGTAAATTCACATTTTCACCTAACCACGAATCGTAACGAACTTAGGTTCAATTACTCAATTTACGTCCATCAATTATCAAAACTGAACCTAGAGCATTAAACACATGCTAAGAATGACATTGGCGGGCCACTGGCCATGCGCCGCCGCACGGGCCGCCCCGGCTCGCCGGAAAATCCAACTATTTCAAAAAATTCTCAAAACATACAAAATTGAAGATCTCAACGAGTAGAGCAAACTTTATACCTGAGGCCAAGGCCAATTTGGCCTGGAAACACTTCAATTTCACCAAAATCCGTGTGGAACCCTAGAATTGGGTGAGTTCCAATTCGTCTTCAAATCAACTCCGTCGTCCCAATCAATGCTTGGGCTTTGTTCTAGGCCTCAAGAGGAAGCTATGGGTGGTGGCAATTGAAAGAATTTGCTTCGGGATTTGGGTGATTTCGAAGCCAAAAGTCGCCGCACCCCTTCTTTGCGGTTTTCTCCATTTTCAAGGCTAAATGTCTCCAAATTTGAGATGGAATGGATAGAGGAGAGGTCATGGAGAAGTTTCCAAGTGATTTCTTGAAGCAATTCGCCGGAAAAATGGTGGAATTTCGAAGGAAATGTGTAGAAAATCTGACGGGTCGCGCGCGGGTCGAACTGGGTCCGGCCGATCCCCTCATTTTCCTTCTCCCTTCTTTCCTCCTTTCCCTGATTCTGATTGGTCCTTCCCTTCTCTCACTGTTCCGATTGGTCCATCTCCTCCTTCCTTGGTTGGGCAGCCGATCCCCCTTCTTCTTTCTTTTATTTCTGATAGGGCAGTCCACCTCTCTCCCCTCTCTAACTGGGCAGCGCCCAACCCTTAATTCCCCTTCTTAAAACTGAAATTCTACCACAAATAATTGAGTTACTAAAATGTCCCAAACTTTAAACGTTAATATCTTCTTCGATATAACTCCATATCACGAACCGCGTGCGCCCACGCTTCCGTAGCGACGAGTACTACGAGGATAAGCCAAGAAAACAAATCTTAGATGGCACGACACAACGATTAACCTCGAATAATGCGTGTGCCTCAAAGGGCATATTTTTTTTTTTTTTTTTTTTTTTTGTAAAATCCTTTATTAAAACTTTAGAAACTCTTAAAATCAGGGACGGGCTGTCACAAGTTAGTCATGAAAGAAACTTATATTCGCATTCTACCATATTTTTTTTATGATAAATGATATGCTAATATACCCTAAATTTATCTAAACTAGGGGAATGAGGGATAGTTTGAACTCAAAAGGAGTAGGTTGAAGAGGAAGATTCAAACCAACACTTGCAAAATTAATAATTGTCACGCTAAACATTTCTTAACTTGATAGGTACAATGCCTATGCTTGGATTTTTTTTATTTTCTATCTTATAAATGATATCATTATTGGGGTAAAACCCTCAATTGTTAGGAAACCCGCATCAAGATGTATAAGTATTATTATTTTCAGTGATTGCAATAAACCGCCATTGCACCTATGGTTGAAAATTGGTTCATCTATATATACTTATTAACTCTGGGCAACATAATTGATCTAGTTTGTCTATGGATTTAGTAAAAACAAAAACCCAGGTTATGAACTGCTTTGTGAACATATATTTAATAAAAATATTGTGAGACCAATGAACAAGGAATCCATTGTCGTCCAGCGGTTAGGATATCTGGCTTTCACCCAGGAGACCCGGGTTCGATTCCCGGCAATGGAACTTTTTGGCATTTTATTTAATTTTACACTTTCACATATATGCTGCTATATTTTATTTTCTTTGGGAAAAGACGTATATGATCTGTGATCTATTTGGGATGATTTTTATGTTTATTTTTCCTTTTATACAAGTGATACTCGAGGTTTTAAATGCAAAAATAAATACCTAAACAAGAATTGTACTATTATATCGAATGAATTGAATTCAATCGATGCATATTGATATTCAAACCCAAACTCATATAGCTATTCAACTCACAAACCCATGCTGCTGCCACCACTCAGGCCCCTTCTCCCCACTCCCCAACCACCACAACAACCCCACTCTAATCTCTGAACAAACAATATTATCTATATTAAGAGAGTGAAAAATGGACTTAGAGTCATAATGTGTTAGCAATAATGTGGTCGAATTCGTCTTTCACGAGAATCGAACTTAAAAGCTCTCACTTACAAGTAAAAAAGAATACGACTAGACCGAAATATTAACTGACATCTCCCTTTATTTCTTATACCAATTTTATTTCACTTTTTTTTACGAGGTAAAATACCTCATTTGCTCATGTATTTAGTCAAAAAAAAAAACATAACAGAATTAATGGCAAGACCAATAGTGCAAGAACTAAAAACGAATTAAATGACAAATATGTAAATCGCGAAGGAATTCAGGACCATTGCTTCAAATTATTCTATTGTTTGCATTAAATGAGAGATTTGTCAGTGTGTTGAGCACCCAATACATCCAATGTCATAAATTATAAGAAAAGATTTTTTTTTTAATTTTTTTCAAGTGCCCATCCATCTATAGATGGGACTTCATCGCAATAGTGAAAAATAATCATACCTATGCACTATGATGCGAGTTTCATATTCACTGGTTCCCATCTCCTTAACAAATAACAATTTAATTCACTAGCACTATCATTTATAAAAAAACAAATTGTTGATCCATTTGTATTATATTTAATTAGTTTAATTAGTTTATTTCCATTCCAATTGCCTAGTTTTCATATCCATTTATGTATTTTATGAAATAGAGTAGGATTCTCTTCTCTCATATTCTCATCCTATTCCCTTCCCTCCTCTCACACATTGTTAATATTGTCACCCAATGTGTCTATTCACACATTTTGAGCTTACAAAATGAGCTAATTAAAAAACGAATAGGATCCTATTTGTGGAGATCCAAATGATCAATCAATCGTGTCCGTTCATTGTACATCGTGCAATTAAAAATTATTTAAATTTTTTTATTTAAAAATTAAATATAAACAGTATCTAACGAAAATTGACCAAATGGACACAATTGATTGATCATCCGGATCTCCACAAAGAGAATCCATTAAACAATAAAGTTTCAACCGGTCCCTCGCTCCTTGAGAATTCAACACATAAAAATATAAAATAGGGAGTTTTAATGAAAGACTCTCGGTATTGTTCATTTTTAACGAAAAATCATATTTTCACCTTTCCTTGGTACTATTCACTATACCTTTATTTGTCATTTTTCATAAAAACTAAAATTTTTTTTTTGGACTTTTCGTTAGTTTTATATATAAAATAATTAGAAACAAAATAACTGTGACGTGATGTTTGAAAAAATAATATCGTGTTAATTTAAAAAGAATTTAACACAAGACATGACATTACTCGAACAATAAGCTTTAATAACAATAAATTTGTTCTATGAAATTGCTATACTAGATAATTTTAGACTTAAAAGATTTATGAATCGAACAGAATGACATAATCACAATAAATCTATTCCATACAAATTGCCATACTAAATGGACTTTGAGTTTAAAAATTTATATTCAAACGAAAAATAAGAATAACAATAAATCTGTTTTATACAAATTGCTATATTATATTCAAGCGGAATGTGAATAACAACCAAATTCGAATCCGAGCAAAAGTTGTAGCATTCACATGAATCGTGTGACATGTGAGTTTATGACATCAGACTCCACATGACACGGTGTCTCACGTCCACAGCATCTTCCGAAGAAAAATTGCCAAGTGGACCAACGCGGGACCCGGAGCCGCCACTGGAAATTACACCTGTAACCTCACGACTCGCACGCAAATTGCCACAACGTCTTCACAGGTCACACCGCTCTCCCTCCCTCCCTCTCTCTCAGCCACGAGACCAGAAGCCAACAACCGTCTTCGCCTTTTCACCTTTCACACACGTACATTCAGAGCTTCCCTTCCTTCCTCGCGAGTTTTAGCTTCCCATTGGATTTGCAGAAGCAGAAATGGAAACCCTAATTTCACTCTGAACCGGAGGACTCTTTCGACTTCTGCTCCATGACCCAATCCTGAGCTCGAATTCCGAGCAATGTCAGTTGCGGAGCTTAAAGAGCGCCACGTGGCGGCGAGCGACACCGTCAACTCGCTCAGAGAGCGGTTGAAGCAGAAGCGCGCCTCCTTGCTCGACACTGATGGTATGGCGGTGGTGGGGTTGCTGGTTTGTTAATTATTACCGAATATTGTTCTACTGGATTGTAATTTTTGGGGGTTTTAGATCTAATTGGTTGTGCTGGTGGAATTTTTGCAGTGGCTGGCTATGCAATGTCTCAGGGGAAGACTCCGCTCACATTTGGCCCCACCGATCTTGTATGCTGCAGAACCTTGCAAGGTCATACAAGGAAGGTATGATTGCCCACATGTAATTCTGTGTGTTTTTGTGCCTGTGTGGTCTGTGTTGTGTTTTTTTTTTAAAAGTGATCATCTTTCGGTTCTTTCGAATCACATTCGTATGGGTTAGTGGAATTGTTGGGCATTGGTTGTTTGAAGCGTGCTATTCAGATTACAAAGCTAGTTTCTTTTATGTTTTTGGATATGTGAAATTGTAATGTTTGGGTTTGACTAGTTGGGAGAGTGTGAGTAATTGTTGAGAGTGAAATCATACCAAAGAAAAAGGGCACGAATCGTATCGCAGGACAAACTAGCCTAAAAAATGGGTAGGTTGATTAGGGATATGGACTAAGTTAAATGTCTAGAAGACAGTAATTGGAGTTAAATGCATTCAAGACAATGGTCGAAAGTATTAATGGGTAGTGGCATTTCAGGCAGCAAGCCCAATCAATACTAGGAGATTGACCTGTAGTAATTGGAAGATTTTAAATTTGACATCGTATAAAGGGTAGCCCTATTGCCACCGTAAAAGAAGTCCTCTTTCTTAACTGAACATTTGTATCCTCCTACATGGTTCCAAAAAAAAAAAAAAAAAAAACTAAAAACTAAAACAATAATTTGTTTGAAAAGAAGTCATGTCCGGGGGGTCTCAGCCTAGCCATGTCTTCTTTCATTTTCTTTTGAGATTGTGGGTGTAGAATGGTAGAATTGTCCAGCTAAGAAACTTTCAGGTCTAAGAGAGCTACTACCCGTGATTAAATTGCTATAGAGTTTGTGGGAGGTGAGTAGCTAACAAAATGTGCAATGGAAAATTAGTGGAGAAAGAGCACAGTGGTTTTGAGGTTTATAAAAAAATAAATTGGATATACAAAACTATGCAAAATTATATAGGAACTAAATTGATTCACATTTTGACATTATGAAGGAAAAGAAGTAATAGAACAAGATTTGTGTTACTCTTCACCCTTACAAATAATTAAAATCAGTTTATGTCTAGTTAAAGTATTTGTGATGCCAGTTGAATATGAGAAGGTTCTATAAGATTTATGCTCGCTGAGACTGCTGTAGGTGTATTCGTTAGATTGGACCTCTGAAAAGAATCGAATTGTCAGTGCATCTCAAGACGGGCGTTTGATAGTGTGGAATGCGCTAACAAGCCAGAAGACTCATGCTATAAAATTACCTTGTGCATGGGTCATGACTTGTGCTTTCTCACCGACTGGTCAATCTGTTGCTTGTGGTGGCCTTGATAGTGCTTGCTCTATTTTCAACCTGAATTCTCTGTGCGACAAGGATGGGAATCTACCTGTATCAAGAACACTTAATGGGCATAAGGGTTATGTTTCCTCCTGTCAATACGATCCAGATGAGGACACCCACCTGATTACTGGATCTGGAGATCAAACATGTGTTTTGTGGGATATTACTACTGGACTCAGGACTTCAGTTTTTGGAGGTGAATTTCAGTCTGGACGACACACTGCAGATGTACTGAGGTATACCGGCTGATTTTAAATGGCTGTATGCGTAACATTTATTGCATCTGGAGTTTCTGGTCCATATTCATGTCCATGAATTTACGATGTAATGGAACTGTTTGCTCTAACATACTGAATGCTGTTAGAAATTGTGTCTAGGCTTGCCATTCATTCCTAACTTTGACTGGTAAGTGATGTATTTTTAGTTATCCTGATATATGGTTTTCTGTTCTGTATTTGAGTTTAAAAGAATATTCCTTAATCCTTAATGTTTCCTCCTGTACCTTTACCGTTTGCTTTTACTTTTGCTTTTCCATCATGAGCACTCTATTTGTCACACAAATCTCAGTGTTTACGAAAGGATACTATTTCTCATGGAATTCTAAGTAAATTGTTTTGCATTCTTTCAGTGTATCCATCAATCAAAGCAACTCAAGATTGTTTGTCTCTGGTTCCTGTGATACAACTGCTCGATTGTGGGACACTCGTGTTGCAAGTCGAGCAGTGCGAACATTTCATGGTCATGAGGGGGATGTTAATGTGGTAAAGTTCTTTCCAGATGGAAATAGATTTGGAACTGGCTCAGATGATGGAACTTGCAGATTATTTGACATTAGAACTGGGCACCAACTCCAAGTATACCATCAGACACACAGTGATAATGATGTACCACCTGTGAAAACAATTGCATTCTCAATATCAGGAAGGCTTCTCTTTGCTGGATACACAAATGGGGATTGCTATGTATGGGATACTTTGCTGGCAAAGGTAAAGCCAATTTCGTTGGCCATATTCAACCTCTTCACCAAATATGAATATGCTTTTGCATCTTCAATTGATCCCCCTTCTTTTATTTAATAAGTTATTCTGCTGATGCCGTACAGTCATGTTGTCTTGTACTTTAGATTCTAGTTTTGGTCTATAAGCATTTTATTCAGCATGTTTATTGGCAACATCTTGCATGGGTGGTACGTCACATTTACATACATTTGATTTATAAGTTATTTTTTCTAGTCTCAAATATGACTTGTAAATATAAGCATTTTATGAATGTTTTGTTTTTTAAGCTAAACACAGCAGAATGTCTTGTTCACAATGTAAAGTCATCCTACCCAATTGGTTCCATTTAGCAGGGTAACTTGAAATTCTGTAGCTTAGCTCTTATTTCTCCCTTGATTGTGTTTCTCATAGGTTCTAGCACTTGATATAATCTTAATATAAGTCTCACTTCCTTGGTTGAAAATACAGTTAAGGTTTTCATTTGTGATAGTTATTCTTAAAGCAAGAAAATGCATCTTGGATTGTCAAGGTTTCCTGGTAAAGTCTATTGCCATGTGCCCTGCCTATACCGTGATCAATCATAATGTCAAAATAACGTCTATAGCATTGCATGCAATTTGAGGAATAAAGTTTGTTTAGTAAACCTCCTTCAATACCTAGGGTTGGGGGAAGGAGGAGTAGCTGTTGGGTTCCACCTTGGGAGGTTATGGTTGTCCATGCTGCAACGTAGAAATGTCAATATTTTGTAAATAAAAATGTCAATATTTTGTAAATAAAAATGTCATACTTTTAAATGTCAGAGTCATAAATTAATCCTGCCAAATGAGATGTTATGGTGCAAAATTTTCATAAATACAATCGTAACACTTTTAGAATGCCTAGTCATAAACTAGTCTTGTAAATCTTGCATTTTGATTTTGTTCCATCATTTTATTAATATTGGCTTGTGGCTATGGATTTTATGGCAACGCCTGTAAAAGGATGAATTGGCTCTAATTGCTCTCTCATTTTGTGACAGGTGGTTTTGAACTTGGGATCCCTCCAAAACTCACATGAGGCACAGATTAGCTGTTTGGGTTTGTCGGCTGATGGAAGTGCCTTGTGTACAGGAAGTTGGGATACAAATTTAAAGGTTATTTCCCTTAGCCCTGTATCTGTTATTTCACTTAGGCCATTCTGCATGCAACATGCATGGGAAACATTATTTTTACTATTATTCGTTGATTTATCTTCTTAATGCGTTTCTTTCTGCAATCATGAATGCAAATAAAAGTAGAGGAAAAAGAATATAAAATAAGGCAGTGTAATTTGATGTTTATGTTGCAAGTTAGTACCCTTTTTATGCTCATATCACCAATTCAAGACATGTCAATAGCCAATTAGACTGTGAGTGCACTTTTATAACACATGGCAAGCATTTATTGGACGGTGGCACCACTAGGACTAAATATTGGTTGCACGAGAGAATCTCTCCTTCCTATGACACTTTGACATGCAAAAGCATCCTTGTATGCATAATCTACCACGGGAGTTAAGTATCTTTGTTCTAGTTATCCTATATCTCTGAGTCTGATATTCATGGAGTTATGCTGGTTTTCTTCTTTATGTTCTCAATCAGTCTACCATGCATCATTCATTAGAAAAAGTGCCATATTGCTTATTATGAAATATGACTTTACTTCGTGTTTATTTCAGATATGGGCTTTCGGAGGGCATAGGAAGATAATTTGAACCAACCGGGAAGCAGATACCTCCATCTTCTGTATCCACTGTTCTCAATGCCTCGCATAGTATGTCCTTCGTAGCTTTCTGTATTGTTGATGAAGATACTGGGTTTGAGAAACTAAAAGATGCTCTAATGTGTTGCTGCTTGTTGTAACCCCACATGGAAAAACAGTCAATTTTAACATTGGGAGAAAAAAGAGATACATTTCACGAAAACTCCGGCTTGAGAAACCGTCCCATCTGCTCACTGCCTGAATATATTCCCTCTGTAGCTACCGTCTCCCACGCGTCCATGTACCTTCCGTTAGAATGTTGTAAATGACTTATCTGTTTTATCTTACGCTCTTTGCCCCTTATGTTTTTCTATTTGCTTGCTCTTGTTTTTGGGTATTTGTTGTTTTGAAAATTAAAAGATAGAGGGAGAAAAGAAATGAAAGTAAATAACTAATGTGTGTTTACTTACCAGGAATGAATTTGCAAAGAAGTATTTGTTGTTTTAAATCTTTTCCTGCACTAGTCATCGGCATCGCCAATAGCTATGTTCCTTTGCAAGTACACTTACTGTAGCTAGACGCGGCAGAAGGCTTAGCTTTAAGTTGTTGAGTCAATGACTGATGGAGACGCTGCAGCTGGCGGCGAGGAGGAAGTTGGAAGTCGATGACGGAGTAGAGTGGCTGTCGAGGGTGGGTTGGGGTGGAGAGTTTTGTCTGCTGTTGAGTTTTTTGGCTTTTGGATTAGTTTTATTTTTCTTATAATTATAGTTAAACCTATTATTGCTAGGTTAGGGAGAGAGATGCGGTAGGTGGTGTGTCGAAATTTAAGAAGGCTAGTACTTTTTTGGTACAAATATTGGGTACTGAAGATTTGAAGCGTTATTTGATGGCTGAGAAGGTTTATGACAACCTTTGACATAACATTTTGAATTTGGTACAAGATTATGAAGGTGTTTTGGAGTTTTATTTAATACATGACATTTCCAAATCACAAGAGTGAATGAAACGTGGCGCGGTGGCCTTGTATTCAGTTCTAGTTCTCTAGTGTTAGAGCAACTTCAGCATTGCAAACGCCCCTTAGAGCTATTCACTATTGAATTCACTCAGTGAACATTAACTGTCCTTAATGAACAATAACTGTCTTTTGCATCTTCACTCCTAAAACTGAATAGCCCTGACAATAGGTAATAAAATATTAGTATTTTTTATTTTATAAAATAGTACAAAATAATTTTATTTGTAATTTCGGATAAAGCACCGAGAGCATCACGATAATTCCCTACCATTTCTTCACATTGTGAACTTGGAACTTGTATATTTGGACTCCTGGCAACTTTAGGAACATAACTGGGTTATTGCATGCAGTGGTGGATTCAGGATTCTCACATTGGGTGGTCATAACCACCCAATGTAAAACATAAAAAAAAAGAAATAAACGATAAACTTACAAAAACTAAATAATAATATTTTTCATTCATAAATCATGGTAAAAACAAAGCTAGGTCATCATGAATAAAATCCCTTCTTCTAATTTGTAAATACTTGCCTTTTTCCTCACGGGAAAGCTGCACCTCCTCTACCTCCTCCATGGATGCACTGCACTAGAATTTTGATTGTATCACGGTCCATCCATAACTATCTCATTTAACAAAATAAATTTCCTAGGCGTAGCCCATATAGTCCTAGGTGTGAATTTGTCCTCCCTATTGTAATATTTGGAGGGTTTCCCAAGGATCTTCATAGGCGTTTTTCTGGCATCCGGGTGGTCCTAGAACCACCTTGGTCCCTATATGGATCAGCCCTTGCTTGCATGCACCATCGGTGCACTGGGAAGTGCAGTGATCCTAAACCTAAGAGCTTCAAGCTCTAGCTTGTAGTTTCATGTGAGATTTCCTTGTTCCTTTGAATATTTGGGATTTTCTTGTTGGTGTTGTGATTCCGAGTAAAGACTTAATGGTTAAATTTTGTTCTTTTCGCTGTGCATGCTTTATGTTTCGTTTTTCCAGAATCCGGCGAGCTCCATGACCAAACCCGGCTAATCTCGACCACGATTATTACTCACAATGGTAGAATCTTGTTCCTTTTCATTTTAGCATCATTTTTGTGCTTAAATTACAATTTTTAATGGAGTTTTAAGTCGAGATCGGAATAGGGATGAATCCTTACCAAATTTTCCAATGTTCTCCCTTGAGGGGTCCGGTGACCCATGTTATAAATCGTGGCTAACGTTAGCCTTGCATCATCTCCACCTCGAGCTCTCGGGCCAGCGATTCGGGCCTGACCTGTCGCTCAGGCCCTTTTCAGCGCTAAAGCCCGCATGGGCTGGACTTGATTGCCCTAGCGATTTGGTCCTATTCTGTCCACGGTCCATCGGGCTAAAGGCCTTGCTGTACTTGGTCTAATGGCTGAGGCATAGGCAATTGGGGGCTATTATGGGCTGTCTGCATGTTTGGAGTTGATTTGAGGTGGTGGATGACATCCTAGCTTCTCAACTAGAGTCGATTAATTACGTCAATTCAGTTTAAATTTTGTGATTTAAATTCCAATAGATTGGGAGGAAAATATATGAGGAAATGTAAGGCTATTTCTATCTGAAATGGCTAAACATAGCCCTGTCTAGCTTTGAATTTTTTTTTTAAATGAACAATATCAGACTATACTCATGTATCGTCTCTAACCGATGAGCTAAAACATAACCCCTTAATAATTTTTTTAGTTTTAAGTTTATACTTTAAATTTATTGCTTAATTTAATTAAACTACCGTTTAATGTTTTCAAATCTAACCGTTGAATTTGAATCAATTATTACAATTAAAGAGTTGACTAAAAAAAAATAGGTTTAGAAGGGAACTTCATTTGGCCAGCCTGATGCTCATTTGGCCAAATAATAACTTGATGGGCTTCGTATAATTATAACCCAATCATCAGTTAGTGATGAATTTTTGAACAAATCAAGTCATTTTTTTGCTTTGAACCTTGTAAAGCCCTTTCCATTTGAGGTGGCTTAACAACCACTAACTATTCCTCAAAAAAAAAAAAAAACAACCACTAACTATTACTTTTGAGTGGAAGAGTAACTTAGAAATTCAACTCTTACTAGAACCACGAGCCACAAGACGTGGCGCACTACTATTGGGCAGACACTTCACCACCACCAGATCCTCAGCCACAGAGGAACCGAACTCCATCGTCTAGTTCACCATCTGATCTGAAGCCCTCTGTGCGGTTGTTTTTAGAAAGAAACCCTCATTTTTCTCTTGTCATTCCTCCTTCAAACTACCTCACTCGCGAAGCGAACCAACGAACAACACACAGAGAGAAGAGAGAGGGAGGTTTTAGTCCTACAGTTTTTGCACATCTCAGAGATTCACTTCGTTCTGCGATGGCTCAGCCTCTCGTGAAGAAGGACGACGATCGCGACGACGAAGGTATGTCCCCTCACTCACAGACCTCTCAATTGTTCTCGCTCTCCAATTCGATCTGGTTTTTTCTCCCAATTTTGTTCAACTTCGGCTCTCTGTGTTGCGACTCATCAATCGGCGATTCGTGTTCCCAGATCTCTTTGTTTTAGCGGTTTTGTTTCTCGATTTACCTACTGTGAGGCATTTGAATCGGATATGAGTGAATTAGGGTTTAATTATTGTTGATCTGCTTCAATTTGTCCTGATCTGGATATTTTCTAAGTTTTGTTGAGGTTATGTCGCAATGCGGTTAGTAAAATTGTGGCAAATCTACTCAGTTTGTCTTTATTTAATGCCAGTGGGATAGTGATAGGGATCTTGTAGCCTCGTTTAATTAGGTCCGGGTTTCGCGGTATTAGAAATGTTAATGGTGTGATTCTTGTTGTAATTGTTTTAATGTTGATTTTCTGCAGAGTACTCTCCGTTTCTGGGGATTGAGAAGGGTGCTGTTCTTCAGGAAGCGAGGGTTTTTAATGATCCTCAACTCGACGCTAGAAGATGCTCCCAGGTTATTGCTTTGCACCACCAAATTATCCATCTAATTGCCTTTTTTCTGTCTTCTTATTTGCTCAGCAGAAACTGATTTTGTATGTTTGGCATTGTCGTCAATTTTCAGGTTATCACAAAGCTTTTGTATCTACTGAACCAGGGGGAAACCTTTACAAAGGTCAGGTTTCTTCTGTACCGAATGGTTCTGTTGCTCCCTTGACATTGATCAATATCTTATTGTCAATTTGAGTGATCTAGTTGCATCATTTTGTTATTGTATACTTTGGCCATCAATTGATTCTTGTTACTTTGTATAATTATTAGGTTGAAGCTACAGAAGTTTTCTTTTCCGTGACCAAGCTTTTCCAATCGAGAGATATAGGATTGAGGAGAATGGTTTATCTGATCATAAAAGAGTTGTCCCCCTCTGCAGATGAGGTGACTCGACTTTGTATCATTTAATTTCCTTCGTACATTTGCATGCTCAAAAATTGGGACTGACTTCTGAAATTTTTCTCATAACAAGGTTATTATTGTGACAAGCTCCCTGATGAAGGATATGAATAGTAAAACAGACATGTATCGGGCAAATGCCATCCGTGTCCTCTGTCGGATTACAGATGGAACCCTTCTTACCCAGATTGAGCGGTATCTGAAACAAGCCATTGTTGATAAGAATCCAGTGGTTGCAAGTGCAGCTCTAGTCAGTGGGATCCATCTGCTCCAGGTACTGTTTCTGCTGTACATAAGTCTCAGGTTTTATTTATTTGTTGGCTTTGTACCCTTATCTTTCTCTTTTGACAGACTAACCCAGAGATTGTCAAAAGATGGAGTAATGAGGTTCAGGAAGCTGTCCAGTCAAGAGCAGCCCTTGTACAGTTTCATGCACTGGCTTTACTTCATCAGGTATGTGCCATAGTTGGTTTGGTTTTCAGACTTTACATTCAAGATTTTTTCTTTCCTGAAACATAGAGGAAGCTTTTAGTCAAAATCCATTCCATATGGTTATTTACCACATCATTTCTTAACTAATTACTTGCATTTATAGACAAATGTTTGGTTGATGTGAGCAAGTGGGCTAGGTGTGCAGTGATTTGTTGTTTTGCAGACTGGTTCAGCTTTTAATTCTCAATCATGGGCCCTTGTTTCCTTTTTTAGCATTCATTCCATATAATGTGATTCTTGTAGGTGAACCTTCATTCTTTAAGTTTTAAAGTGGAATACAAAGAAAGATTCTGCATCTACTCAACAATTTTCATTATAATAATTATAAATTATCCTTTTTACAATTGAAAGGTGTTGATAATCTTGTACTTTTGACATTGCAGATACGACAGAATGACCGTCTTGCTGTGAGCAAGTTGGTTACCAGCTTGACAAGGGGGACTGTCCGCTCTCCATTGGCCCAGTGCCTTTTGATTCGTTATACTAGTCAGGTGCTTATTCTTATGGACCTTTTATTTTAGCTTCGTTGGTGTTTTGATGCTTTATTTTAGTAAATTATTTGTCTATAGGTTATCCGCGAGTCTGGAAATGCACAAGCGGGCGACCGTCCCTTTTACGATTATCTTGAGGCTTGTCTTCGCCACAAAGCGGAGATGGTGATTTTGGAGGCTGCTAGAGCAATTACAGAGCTCCATGGTGTGACCCCCAGAGAACTTACTCCAGCAATCACTGTTCTGCAGCTATTTCTAAGCTCTTCGAAACCAGTTCTAAGATTTGCTGCTGTCCGCACCTTGAACAAGGCATCCTTCTTCTCCTTTTACTCTACTAAACATTGTGTTTGAAATTTATTATAATAAAGTGACCTGCTGTCCTGAGTTCTGCTTTTGTAGTTTTGAGATAGATGAGAAATCCTATATGAAAAGAGTTTGAGGGTAATCTGAGGCAATTACTGATAGTATGTAGATTTTAGTTCTGTTTCTTTATTCTGCATGTGAAACAAGGCTTGTTAGACTAAATTATTTTGATTGCAGTTATTTTCTTGCTTCCCGGTGAATGATATTCCTGATAATCACTTTGACCTTTCTTCCAGGTGGCAATGACACATCCAGTGCCTGTCACAAACTGCAACATTGATATGGAGAGTTTGATTTCTGACCAGAACAGAAGCATTGCCACACTTGCAATCACAACACTTCTGAAGACAGGAAATGAATCAAGTGTGGATCGCTTGATGAAGCAGATAACTAATTTCATGTCAGATATCGCTGACGAGTTCAAAATTGTTGTTGTGGAAGCCATAAGATCGTTGTGTTTGAAATTTCCTTTGAAGTTCAGAGCTCTGTGAGTGATCTACCACATACTCAAAATTTTGTTTGAGAACGTTTGGTTTCATGTTGTTCATCTTTCAGTGCACATATTCTTATTTGTCTTCGTTGTTTTCAAAGTAATGGTCACTGCTTCTTGTTTTCTACAGGATGAACTTTTTGAGCAACATTCTCAGAGAAGAAGGTGGATTTGAGTACAAAAAGGCAATTGTTGATTCAATTGTGATTCTCATTAGAGATATCCCTGATGCAAAAGAAAGTGGCTTGCTTCATCTCTGTGAGTTCATCGAAGATTGTGAATTCACCTATCTTTCTACACAGGTGGGATTTATCTATCATAAACTTGGTGAAGAATCTATTCCTCTTAATACTCTTTTGGCTGATTGAGATATTTTATTATTAGATACTCCACTTTTTGGGCATTGAAGGGCCAAAAACCTCTGATCCAAGCAAGTATATAAGGTACATATATAATCGAGTACATCTTGAGAATGCCACTGTTCGCGCGAGTGCAGTTAGTACATTGGCAAAATTTGGTGCTATGGTTGATTCATTGAAGGTAACATCTTTTTCAATGAATTATGGTTTAATCTGATCCCCCTCCCCCTCTATACAAAGAAGATATGTTTGTCTATGGTTACTGATGACAATGAACTATAATTATTTTTTTCTATGTATCAGCCGCGAGTGTTTATTCTGCTGCGACGATGTCTCTTTGACAGTGATGATGAGGTATCCTATATGTATATTCAAGGCCTTAAATTTAGGTTATATATAACATGTATGAGCATTCACCTAAAACGAGGTATCTGGCTCTGTACAAATCTGCTTCTGAGTTTCTGTGTTCCTGTGCCATTTCTTTCATGATTTTTTTTGTTTTAGCTTCAGTATATAGTTATATACTGAATTTCTTTTTGGTACTCTCTCAGGTTCGTGATAGGGCAACACTCTATCTAAATACGCTTGGAGGAGATGGTTCAGTTGTTGAGACTGACAATGATGTAAAGGACTTCCTCTTTGGGTCTCTGGATGTCCCACTTGTCAATCTGGAGACAAGTTTGAAGAATTATGTGAGTAACATAACCTCCATTTGCTTTTTGTTTTTGTGCCCTTAAGGTCCTTATCTTGTGTTTTGACTTCTGAGGATTGTTTTAATGTGATTATAGGAGGCTTCGGAAGAACCATTTGACATTAATTCTGTACCCAAGGAGGTTAAGTCGCAGCCACTTGCTGAGAAGAAAGCTCAAAGTAAAAAGCCAACTGGTCTTGGTGCTCTTCCAACTGGCCCTGCATCCACAGTTGCTGCTTATGAGACATTGCTTTCCTCTATTCCGGAGTATTCAAACTTTGGGAAACTATTCAAGGTTCTGCAACGTGAATATTTTCTCATACCTTAAATGCACGTTACAGCTCATGTTTTTTGTCTTAGGAATTAATTGCGTACTTTTTTCACATGTCAGTCCTCAGCACCTGTGGAGTTAACAGAGCCAGAAACTGAATATGCAGTTAATGTTGTCAAGCACATTTTTGATAGCCATGTTGTGTTCCAGTACAACTGCACCAATACCATTCCCGAGCAATTACTGGAAGATGTAAAGCCCTTTTTTATATTAAAAAAGCACTTTTACTTTTGTAGTTAGGCGTCAGAATTTCCTTACAACTCTCTGCCTGTAGGTCATTGTCGTGGTTGATGCTTCAGAAGCTGAGGAATTTTCTGAAGTGGCATCCAGGTCTCTCAGGTCTCTTCCATATGATACACCTGGACAAACCTTTTTGGCATTTGAGAAGCCAGAAGGTGTCCCTGCAGTTGGAAAATTTACAAACTTGTTGAGGTTCATTGTTAAAGAGGTATCAAGTTCTTCCCTTTATCCCTGTTTATAGACCAACTTTCTTGACAATTAACTAATCATTTGGCACTGGTCATTTTGAGTGCAGCCTACTTTAAGCTAATAAAACTATTGAAAGCTATATGTGATTTTTCACGTTCTATATAATGTGCAATTCTTGTCATCTACAACCATCACATCACAGATATACTGTTCAAAGCTTATAGTTGATCTTTACTTGTAATAACCTGCACCATTAAATCAGATTTTTCCTATGAACATACACAATGATATACGATATCAAATCCTGCAAGAAAATAATAAATATACAATATTAAGAAGCCAACCCTTAGAACTTTTGAGCTTTGTCTGAATCCCTTTTCTCATGAGCCGGGGGTGTGCCACTAGGTTGATCCAACCACTGGTGAGGCAGAGGAAGATGGTGTGGAAGATGAATACCAGCTGGAAGATCTTGAGGTTGTCGCTGCAGATTACATTTTGAAGGTTCCAGTCTTCAATTTCAAGAATGCTTGGGATAGCATGGGTGCTGATTTTGAGCGGGTAGATGAATATGGCCTGGGGCCAAGGGAGAACTTGACTGAAGCTGTTAATGCTGTCATCAACCTCCTTGGAATGCAGCCCTGTGAGGTAATTTTGTTTTAAGATTAAACGTCTATGATTTGTCTTTATGCAAGTACTTGTGGAATCAGTTGATCTGGATGTTAAAAAGTCTGAGGGCTTTTTATCGCTGCGCTTCAACAACGCAGATGCATAATGGATACAATACCTCTATAAATCTGCAGTAGATACTTAACAATGCATTATATTCTGTTCCTGCTTGAAGTTTGAAGTGGTAACGTTTTATAGTGATAACATATATTGTGTGCATGGCTCAGGGCACAGAGGTCGTTGCCAGCAACTCAAGGTCACACACATGCGTATTGTCCGGTGTGTACATAGGCAATGTGAAGGTTCTTGTGCGGTTGTTATTTGGAATTGACAGTTCATCGAAGGAGGTTGCGATGAAACTTACTGTCAGATCGGAGGATGGAGCTGTCAGTGATGCCATTCATGAGATTGTGGCCAGCGGCTAGTTGGTTAATGCTGTCATTGAACAACAGCTTTTTCACTTTTCTATAATGAGAGCAGTGGCGGGGGATACGGCTGCATACAGATCAAAATATTTTGTAGAAAGAAATGAACATTACTAGTTTGAGGTCGAGGGGCTTGCGAGAGGTCAATTTGCATTTTCGATTGAGCGTTTGGCTGCTCATCTGCTTAATTAGTAATAATTTGGTCGGAATCGTATCGTGTCAAGATATCGTTGGATTGATATACCAGTCACCCAATTTTTCTTGTTTATTCAAGTGTAGTTTTTCTTTCCAATTACATTTGTTGTGGTAGACCTGAATTTTGAGACACCGAATCGCAAAGAAGATAATTGTATTACTGTTTGGTTCCTCTGGTTTTCCTCTTCTTCCTTCCCTTGCAAAGTTTTACCTTTGTTGGCATCTGTTGTCCCAAATCTTAAACCATCGTGACTGTAAAGTTGAAAGTTATGATGCATCATCAATAAATAGTATACAGCCATCAAGTGTCCGTTTGTGATTACATCCGTACTAAACACTGTCATAAGCACTTTTGTTAGAACTGCTTTTATTTGAAACACGTTTGAATTTTTTATTTTTTTATTTGAAACACGTTTGAATTTTATATAGCAATTAGGCTTTGTATCTTTGCAATGCCTCTTCGACTATCTCTAATCCTTGGAGACAAAGCTTAAAAATTTAACCCCGAAAATTTTAAGCCATAATTTAGAAACTGCTTTTCTCCTTCAATCCTTATGACTTAAAATTTTAGCACGAGATTATTAAATAATGGTTTTAGCCCTTTTTTTTGGGTAATATTTTTTTTTTGAAAATAAAATATATGTAGATTATCCTAATTTATTTTTATGAACATTTTAATCTAAATATATTTAAATTTCGATAAGTAATTAAAAACCATACAAATACATAGGCATTTTAAAGTTTAAAGTTAAATTTGATTTAAATAATTTTCTTAAATAATTTAAAAACGTTAGATTTAATTTTCTGCTGTCAAATCATTTTTTTTACCATTATATTTGATCTCATTTGATCATAGCCGTTAGATTATAAGTAACAAACAAAAAAAGGTTTGAAATAAGACAGTTTGGTGAGTTCAGAATAATTTAAGTCAGACTTAAATTATGGGGGAAATTTAGCCCAGATATATATTTTCTCCCCGGGGCTTATTTTAGTCCAATGGTTGGAGATGGTTTGGGGGGGGGGCTTAAAACTTTATCCCATGGGTTGGAGATGGTCTTATAACTCGACCTTAATTTTGCTCTCCCCTGATATTAAAATTGATAGTGCTATCCACACATACATTTTTACTTCTCACACACCTCTTTTAATTTTTGACCGTCGGATCTGATAATTGAAGAAGATGAATGGCAAAAATTTTATCACGGGTATGTGGAAAGTAAAAACGGGTGTGGGAATAGCAATTTCCAACTATAATATCACCATGTCGCACCTTGGACCTCAATATTCCCTTCACTTTGGTGAGATTTTGTCAATTTTGTCAAAAGGCCGTCAAATGTTCTGGCGTGAAAGGGTAATTTAGTCATTTCAGCCAAAGTGGCATTTAAAAAATCATTTTATGTTGATGTGACCCTATGTGAAAAAACAAAAAAGAAAAAAAAGAAAAAAGAAAACTAGAAAAAATCCCGCCCCAAATCTACCTTCACCGGTGACAGTACAATAATGTCCCACCCTCTCTGATCACAAGTAAACTTTGCATGCACTTGACGTTTATAATATTATTTGTAACATAAACCTGTGACATGACATTCTTGCATCATATCTGCTCATTAATTGTGATATGCATTAGTGTCTATTATTTATTGTACTGGTCCGAGCATAGGACAAGCCCACGTGTATGCTCACATTGCACTACTTACATTCGCTTTGGATCCAAAGTTAGGTGTTAGCTTATTCCTCTTAGGGTTGTGGTAGATCCCTTAGGGTGATAGACATTTATGTGATGCGTTTTGCTTAACTTCATGGTGTAATACTAGAATGTAAACCTTAACACCCAACCTGTTCATGTAGCTACTTTCTACATGACTCGTGTGCCATCATTAGTTAATGAGCATTGATTTTCTTATTTGATGGTGATTTGAGATTTGATGATGAGATATTTTTTGTAGCAGCACCTTATATCCTTTGACTCACTCGTGCTAAAGGGTAACTACTATATACTAGTATTATATTATTATTTTTAGGATGCTATATACATGATTTACAACATGGGGTTACATGTTTTCGAAAAAGTTTTCAAAACTTTATTTTTATAAACCTAGTCACCATTGTTTTTTTGCCCTCCAGGATTTAGTGGTAGAGCTCTAATGATGACGAGTATTTCTGGAAAAAGCTGAGACGAAGGAAGTTTCTTCGTATGGTATAAATGTTCTTTACTCCTACTGCAACTTACTTATGCTCTGACATCACTTGTGTGATAAGGGTTCAACCCTGCTAACATGCACATTCTAGCATTAGTTATTTTAGGGTTTAAATTAGGAGCACTTTACACATCACCATCACTGTATGGCTTTGTCACCTTCGAGGTCTCGACCAACACAACTCGATTCGGATGTCCAGGTGAACATTTCTGAATCGGGGTGTGTCAGTTCTTTAGGTTTGGAAGATGGATTTTTCCTTTCGTAATTTTTTCTTTGTCAGCGATTAAAGCCCATGTCACCATGGATATGTGGGCAATTCCTTCGAAAAATATCAGCATGCTACTGCAGATGACAATATTACTGTTTGCAGTTTACTCTCAGGCATGTTGGTTTTGCAGTTTGGTTCCAATACATTGTAAATTATTGTAGCAAAAATTTCCATCTATTCTCAAATCTCACCAATTTTCAACAGTAATAATATTAGATATTAAAGTTAGAAAATACAAACACATAAGGTACTGGTCAAATATTCTTCCAAATGCATGTGTTTGTTTCATAACAGTAGCAAATCCAAACACACATAGCTATTTCCAAAAGAAAGAAGAAAATAAACAGAAAAACAGAAGAAAGAAATCACAACTCCTCCTTCAATGGTGCCCTTGTCTAACACAACGTCGCAATTATGCTTCTACCGCCATCTTCGACCTACCTGAAATCAATCAGACGTATATCTGTTAAGCTTCTGCTGGTGCAGGGTGAATACAAAAACGTCTGCAGGGAACGAAGAGTGACACACACACTAATGCCTACCACTTTTTCGACACGATACATACAACTATAGCATCATCATCCATCTTAGTGCGTTAGTTACCACTAATTAACATGAAGAGTCATTAATTTTAAGGCTCTATAATTATTAATTACTCCCAAAGGATTTATAACCAGTTCTCATTTTCTTTATTTGGACAGTCCCGTCCAAGTTTGAGGTACTATCGCTTGCTCAAACTGGACTGTGTGGCCGGTTGATCCCTTAATTTGTTATTCATCTCTTATAAGTTATTACTGCTAGAGGTTGCAGAGGGATTGAGGCCATACTCGCTTGTAGCACCGTACTCGCTGCTTGGATAATCTGTGCTGTCCATCAACGCCGGCTTCCTAAGCCCTTTCATTTTCGCGTTATACGAATCAGCTTCAAACTCGGAGGAAGCCATACTAGGAGAGCCAGACGACCCCAATTGTCCTTTAATCCCCTCGTGCAAGTCTTCCATTGAGACGTCGCCTTCCAATGCACGAACAATCTGCGTAAAATTTCAAATATCGCTTTAGATATATTTAAAAGGTTGTACATTATGCACAATATCAGCAACAAAAATGGCAGGAGCGGGTCTCATTTCTACATAGGAGTGGTCCTTACCTGGCTCATTTTCGGACGCTTCTTCGCAGAGTGTCGAACACTCGCAGCCGCACAAGCCACCATGCGTGCTACCTGTTCCTGGTTGTAATTGTTCTCTAGTCGTCGATCCAACAATTCAGAATAGTCCCCAGTATCTATTGCTTTCATGCAGAGAGGTCTTGCCTGTTGTTGTTCATGCATAATGCAGAGAATACGTAACTCATCATCATATTAAACTTGTTGTATATAAACAATTGAGATATCCACACTACCACAAGTAAAAATACGAATTCATCAAATCGATATTGGATATTGACAGTCTAATAACTTAACATTTGATTCAGTCTGTCAAGAGAACATAATTCATGTGTAATTGCAAGTTAATTCATTAGGGAGGGAGAGTTCGAACCCAGTCTACTAAGGTATCTTCCTCGTATTCCCCAGACAAGTCCACAGGGCGGCGTCCAGTAATGAGCTCCAGGAGCATAATACCAAAAGAGAAGACGTCAGACTTCTCGGTCAGCTTACCACTCGATGCGTACTCAGGAGCCAAGTACCTGCATCATCAGTTTGCCATAATATTAAATTCATATTCTGTGGTTAGTTTGTAACTTAAAGTTTTATATATCTTGCAAGTTAAATTAAGGAGCTGATGAGAAAAGTTCCTTACCCAAATGTTCCCATGACACGAGTTGATACATGGGTGACATTTTCCTGGTTTAGCTTTGCTAGTCCAAAATCTGCCACCTGAACATATCATGCATATAAATTAGCAAATAAAAACATTAGTCATCTTTTAATATGTTAAGCTATTCCTAGATTTCATTAACAAATTTGGGTTACATACCTTAGCTTCGAAACTATAGTCAATCAGAATATTTGCAGCTTTAATGTCACGGTGGATAATCTTTGGGTGACCTGAAAGAATCCAAATACGGTATGAGAACTAAGGTATAAGAGAGCAATGGATCAAAGGAATATACATAGTTGTAGTAATTTCACGAACTACTTACAGTCTTCATGCAAGTAAGCAAGCCCTTTAGCCGATCCCAACGCGATTTTGACCCTGTTGGCCCATTCCAAGGGTGGCCGATCCGCGCCTGTCAAATGATGAACAGTGAAGTATGATCACATCAGTTGAGATCTAACAAGTCGATAGATGATATAGTTAGTATATAAGGTATTGATGACGTAGAGTTAACTAGAATGCATACTGTGAAGGTGGAACTCGAGGTTGTTATTAGCAATAAATTCATAGACCAACAGCTTTCGCTCTCCTGCAAGGCAGTACCCAACAAGCGACACAAGGTGGCGATGATGAACACGGCTAATGATCTCAACCTCGGCTGCAAATTCACGGTCACCTTGTCCGCTACCCGCTTTGAGGCTCTTAACGGCAATTTCCTTTCCATTTGGCAACACCCCTTTGTGCACGTACCCAAAGCCACCTTGGCCTATTAGCTTGGCTTGCGCAAACCCTGAGGTTGCAGCCGCCAGCTCTTCATAGGTGAAGGTGCTCTTGTTGAACCCGAATGCCACATTAGGGTGTGGAGGTGGCAGAGGGGGACCGTGTGGACCGGAGAAGTTGGACGAGCTCATATCGCCACTCATCATGGGGGGTGCTCCACCGGATGTCATAGTCCAACCTCCATTGGGAGCACGGCCAGAAGGAGGCATATTAAGAACGTGCTCGGAGCTTTTAGGTCCACCTTGCCAATATTCACCACTTCCTGCCCATGCACAGTACCCATATTATTACATAAATATTAGTACACACACATATATATATGCAATTTTTTAAGGAGATCATATTTTTTTACCATAATTTTTTACTATTTTATATGGCAAGTAATGTATACATATCACGTCAATTAATGATTATATCTTATTGGATGCTGATTTTATGTTTCACTTGCCATATGAAATGTGGATGCACTAATGTGGTATAATAATGTGGTCTCCCAGCATTACTTTGTATATACTGTTATAAAATTACTATGGAGACCATATTTTTAGACCATATTTTGTATACTACTTGATGTGGCAGTTGATTTTTAGAATATTTCTTTAGTGATTTAAAGAAAAAAAAATCTAAATTGCCACATCATATAGTTTACAAAATATGATTTAAGTAAATCTGTTATCTAGAATTCAATCCATTTAAAAGTTCCATAAATGTTAATTAAACCATAAAGCAAATCAAAAGTTGTACAAGTGCTAGGAAAACAAAAAGACTTTGGAGAATTACCATTTGGACGATATGGATCAGGGTTCTCCATGAGGTGGGAAGCAGTCTGTCTCTTCTTCCTTCTCTTAGAGCAAGCCAAGAAAAGCAAAACAAAGACAAGCAACAACACCCCTGCTATAGCTACAACTCCTACGATTATAGGCATAGAGCTTCCTGAGTGCGAAGTTGGCGGCGATCCATCATTGTCCGACGATGATGAGCGATGTGACTTGCTTGATGATCCAAGTGCTGGGGGTGACCAATTCTCAGACGATTTCGGTGACCAATTCCCTTGAGATGATTTGGGTGGAGACTGAGAGTCATTTTGCCCTCCATTGTTCTGGGAAGAGGGAGATTTTTGGGAGTTGGAGTTTTGTGGGGGGGATTTATGGGAATTGGAGTTATTGTTCGAGTTGTTGTTCTTTGAGTTGTTGTTGTTGTTGTTGTTGTTATTTTTGTTGTCTGAGCTGTTTGAGTTGTTGTTATTTTTGTTGTCTGAGCTGTTTGAGTTGTTATTTTTGTTGTCTGAGTCGTTTGAGTTGCCGTTTGAGTTGGAATTGCCGCTTGAGTTTCCATTTGAATTGTTGTTGGAATTGTTGGAATTGCTGGAGTTGTCGTTGGAATTGTTCGAGTTGTTGTTGGAAGGCGGCGAGTTTTTCGAGTTGTTGGAAGACGATGAATTATCCGTTGAGTTATCCGAGTTGTTTGAGCTATTGGAAGATGATGAGTTACCCGAATTGTTGTTGTTTGAATTGTTGGACGAATTGTTGGACGAATTGTTGTCGGAGGGAGGCGACGAGTTGTTTGAATTATTGGACGGTGGCGGCGAGCTGTTTGACGAGCCGTTTGATGGCGATGAGTCACCTGAGGAGGATGAGTCACCTGAAGATGATGAGTCCTTTGGAGGAGATGGTGGGGGTGATGAACTTGAACCTGAACCTGAATCCGAATTACCTGAATCTGATGATGGTGGAGAGGGGGATGATGACGATGTCGATGATGACGACGACGATGACGATGATGGGGGAGTTGGCGATGAAGATGATGAAGAGTCAGACGATGGAGAATCTGATGACGAGTTCTGATCGTCAGAGGACCCCATTTTGGGAGGAGTTTTCGATCAATATTACAGTGGGTTTGTGCCGGAGAAACCCCCACTCCTTTGTTAGGTGAGCCTGTTGATGACCCCTATTTCTAACATTAGTCAAAGGTATAAAGAAGCAAACAAAATTTAGTCACGATTTGAAAAACAAAACAATCCAATGCAACAGAAAAAAATGTTCGGATCATGCATGCATGCCATATGTAAAGAATAATACAGAACCTACTAAGTTATTCAATCAAATAAAAAAAAAGTTATTCAATGCATGCATGCATGCACGTAATTACGTTGTTGTTTGCATGGTGTACCTAGTTAATTAGCTACGTGCATAGGGTTGTGTGTGAGAGAGACAAAGAGATAGAGAAGGAGATTGTACCTAAAGGAGGAGGGCATGCAACCGGGGAGGATTCTCAGAGGGAGAGGAAAACAAGTGGTATGATAATAATTCGAGGAAACAAATGTTCCTCCGACAAATGAGGAAGATTTCTCCACCCAACTTCTATTTTTTTTTGCAAATATTTCTCCTATTTGCTATTTTTGATTTGCACTTTTAATTCTTCGGTAAAAAACTGGCCTAAGGAAGTTCAAATTGTTGTCCCTCATTGACCATGTCCTCCTAGCTGTCTCCTAATCTATTCTAACAACATACGTCCACATTAAAAGATATTGGCAATCCAAAATTAGCTATTAGAAAAACAAAAATTGTTTCATCCCTTCGAGTCGGATGGTCTCTGGTCTTTCCTTGAAATGTTGTGGACCTCAAGTCTCAATTAATAACTGATCACGTAGTCTAACACGTGAGAGTTTGAATGTGGGATTTATTGATCCCACCCACCTTGTTGTATTGCCCCCCTCTTCTCCCTCCCCTCATCTGTTTCCATATCTGCCATCTATAAGACAAACTAGCTAGCAGAAAGTTGATATGATTTTCTTTGTTTTTCTCATTTTTATTTTTCAACTAATTCCGAATATGATCAGTTATAAATATATATATTTTAAAACAATGATAACATACATGATAAAGTTTCTTATTTTCGTTATACAACAAAATTGTTTTACCCCTACGAGTTGCTAGCTTGGATCTAAATTCAAAATGCATCAGGGTTTACTAGGAATAATTTCATTTTTTATTTTTTTTGTCTTAATTTACATTTTTATTCCTACAATAAATGTGGAAAAGGGAAACAACCCATTGATTGATTAGGTACATTTTTGTTATTATTATTTACATTGATAAAACATAATAGGTAGATTATAATATTCATATTTTTTTATGTAAGTTAGCTCGATACAAACTAAGAAGGTTTTCAAGAGTAGTCCTATTGGTCAGAACAATATTCTACACTTGAAGTTATATAATTTCCAATTAGAGATAAAAAGTAACTTCAAACATTTTAGAATTATTAAATTATGCTAGAAATTCTTCTTTAGTAGAAAATTAAAGTATTGCACGTTAGTAGAAAATTAGCAGTAATGCACATTAAGACTAGAAAGACAAGTAAAAGTTATTTTAATAGGGAAGTATGCCACCGATGTTTTTTAACTCAACATCCAAAGTCCATCGATAATCAGTGGTATCTGCACCGGTGGCTTTTAAAATATAACTCCATATCTAAAGTTTGTTGATAATAGGTGGTTAAGTTAAAGGTGTACGATATCATGCATGGTTCAAATTTAGTATATGAACAACTTTAACAAACTAAGAAATCAAGCTTTAGAGAGCAAAAAGAAAGAGAAATGCAGAAGAGAGAGAGAGATGATGTAACAGTATTTTCGATAGGAATGTATCATTACACAAAGCTTACTTACAATTGTAAGAACTAAATGGCTATATATGGAAACCACTCATAATCCACAATTACATGAATACCCTTCTAACTAACTCACACAATTACACTCTTATCCTTCTTAACAAACTCAATCCTTATACCTACCTTAACTACTTTATAACAACCTTGACACACAAGATCATACCACATGTCACTTCCACATATCATTGGTTATTACTCCCTCCTCAAACAAAGCGAGGTGTGAAGCTGAGTTTGATTAGATGTTGAACTTGAGTCTTGAACTGAAGTGGAATTATGAATTGAGAATTTTTGTAATGAAGAAGGCACTGATTTCTGCAATGAAGAATGCACTACTCCCAAATTCAAGTTATTACAATGTTTGACAAATGTTGGATTGTGAAGTCCCTTAGTGAACACATTTGCAACCTGTTCCTCTGTAGGTATATACTGAACTACAAGATCTCCCTTTTGAACTTTCTCTCTGACAAAGTGGAAATCAGTGTCGAGATGTTTAATTTTGGAATGGAATACTAGATTAGAGCACAATGCTAGAGCAGACAAGTTATCACAATGCAATTTTGGTGGTATAGCAATAAACTGATGAATATCTTTGAGTAGAGATCAAATCCAATATACATTAGCTGCACAGTGCGCAAGAGCCTTGTATTCCGCCTCTGTTGAGCTCCGTGAGAATGTAGATTGTTTCTTGGATTGCCATGACACTGGATTAGAACCCAAATATACAACAAAACCAATAATGGATCTCCTTGTATTAATGTGTGATGCCCAATCAGAATTTGAATAAGCTTCAATATTGAAATCAGCTAACTTAGTATACTTCAAACCACATTATGTTGTTCTCTGCAAATATCTCATGATTCTTTTCACCAAATGCATATGTAAATATGTTGGTGATGTCATATACTGACACACTACATTAACTGAGTGTACAATATCAGGTCTTACGAAGGTTAAGTACTGAAGTGCATCTACAAGACTTCGATACTGAGTTGGATCAACCAGGGGAGTACATTCAGCAACAAGTAACTAGGAATGAGGTTTGGAAGGAGTAGATATTTGTTTACATGTCTCCATTCCTGCTTTCTTCAACAACTCATTTGCATACTTAGATTGATTGTCTAATAATGAACCATCAGGTTGATACTGAATTTGCAACCCAAAAAAATATGTTAATTTTCCCATATCTTTAAGGTCAAATACTGAAGCAAGATCTGTGATTACATATTGAATCTTTGATGTACTTCAACCAGTTAGAATGATGTTATCTACACATAACAAAAGTGGAATAACATCTGCACCATCACTCTTCATAAATATATTGGAGTCTGATAATGCAGCTTCAAAACCAAGTGTTGGGAGAAAACTTGTAAACTTTGAATTCCATGCCCTTGGCGCTTGTTTTAGGCCATATAAGGATTTGATAAGTCTACAAACATGATTTGGATGATTTGGACCTACAAAACCATTTGGTTGCTTTATATACACCCTTTCCTCTAGAAGAATGCATTTTTAATGTCCAATTGTCACAAGTCCCAGTTAAATTGAGCTGCCAAAGTAAGAATAATCCTCACTGTTGTATGCCTAACCACATGACTAAAAGTCTCAGAGTAGTCTAAACCTTATTGTTAACTAAAGCCTTGTGCCACTAGCCTTCATTTATACCTTGACAAACTACCATTTGGTTTTCTTTTGAATTTATATACCCACTTACTCTTTATTACACTTCTATTGGATGGAGGAGGAACTAATTTCCATGTTCCTTGAGCTTGTAATGCATCATATTCCTCTTGCATTGACTGTTGCCTTTGAACAATTCTGGATGCAGCCTTGAAATGTTTTGGTTCCTCAACTTCACTTATATCAGCCAAGAAGGAAAAACCACATGTATTGATTCCCATATCATATTCCACACAATTGTCAAAGTGCAAGGATCATAACTCAGGTAAAGTTGCTAAGAAAGAAGAATAATCTCTCCTTGATATAACTTATGTCTATAATCTAGTCTGAATGCAATTATCTTGAGCATTAGATTGATCAATGATTGTAGTACTTGGAGAAAATGGGAGGATTACCTGTAGTTGTGATGAATCTAGGATATGAAGCAAAGAAGATGTATCACTAAGATTGGAAAGAGTATGACTTAGAATTAACATCTGCAGTGATGTGACGTGGTGTGCCAGAATCAAGAATACAGGCATCATGTGGAATAAATTCAGTTGATTGCTGTGCTGCCATAGCATTGAATGACTGTGGTAGTGGCTGTCCTTGATAGGCATAGTTGCCTCTATGATAACACTCCAAAGCTGAATGTCCTATTTTCCCACAAATCTGGCATTCCATTACAAATCCAGAAGATGAAGTGTTTATGTTCCTTCTAAAGTAGTTCACAGCAGTGTGACCTCATTTATTACAAATTTAGCATTCAATCACCACTATTGATCCAGTTTCAGTATTACCAGACCACACTTTTGATTTATTTCGCCTTGAATTCCCAGATTGAAAGCTAGATGATCTTCCAGAGTTATAATTCTTACCTTTGAAACCAGTACTTGATCTAAAGTTGTTCCCCTTGTAATTACAGCCACCATTGAAAGGCTGTGACCCAAACTGAGGTCTTGGACCAACATTGTTTCCTATAAACCCATAACCATAAGGAGGTGGATAAAATGAAATAGAATATGGTGTATATGATTGAGGGTATGAACTTGGTGGAGCAGATGGATATGCCTTTGGAGGACCATTATAAGGAACTTGAATTATAGTACTTCCAGTGGCTGGTGAAATGTGAATATGTCCTGCAAGATTAGAAGTAGAACCTGAACCTGAACTAGAAGATGTTCTTGAGACAAAATTGGGACCATTCACATACATGGCAGAGAAGCTCTAAGAAATCATATTTGCTTCTCCTTCAATTTCATTCTCAGCACCAAGAAGATATGCTCGAAATTGTTTTAAAGTAATGGATGTCTCTCTTGCCAATATTACAGTTTTAATAATTGCATACTCTTTTGGTAATCCAGCAAAACCCTCAATGATAATGTCATTGTCAGAAACACTTTCTCTTGCAGCATTTAATTGTTGCCTGATACTCTTCAATCTTAAGAAATATCTGTCAATTGAATTAGCTCATTTTTGGAATGTATGAAGCTCAATCTTGAGATGATTAACTAAAGATTTAGAAACAAATTCATATTTATTGACAAGATTTGACCATGCTTCTGCAGTAGTTTTGCAACCACAAACATATTCTATAGCCTTTTCTGATAAGGTAGCAACCAATAAGCTAAGTAGTGCCAAATCAGTACATTCCCAAGGAACATAAACAATAGTTAATTCAAAAGTCACCCCCAATATCAGTATGAATCACAAATCTTGGAGGACACACATTACTACCATTAAAATGATCCAATAATTTGTATCCCTTCAGAACTGACTTGAATTGAAATGACTATTTAGCAAAGTTATTAAAACTTCTAACATCACAGAAAATTCTTGAACAAGTACTTTCTTGATCAAGAAAGAATGATACTTTCTTGACACAGTGAGAATACCACTTAACAATTAAATTGTAACTTATTGAGACTTGAAAGAATGATACTTTCACCCATAATATGAGAGAACGACACTCTCTTGACAAGAACTCACAAATGAACTTTTTAAGAAAACTGATAACAACAATTGATCAACAATTCTCG